ATCTATGAAAACGCTCTGCCTTCGAATCGTCCTCATTTGGCTACTTCCTACAGCAACATCGGTCAAGTGTATAATAACATGGGTGACTACTTGAAAGCACTTGAATTTTGCGAAAAATCACTTGAAATACGAAAAAAAGGTCTGCCTTCGAATCATCCGTCATTGGCTACTTCATACAGCAACATCGGTCAAGTGTATAATAACATGGGTGATTACTCGGAAGCACTTGAATTTCGCGAAGAATCACATCAAATCTACGAGAAAGCTCTGCCTTCGAATGATCCGTCATTGGCTACTTCCTACGACAACATTTGTCAAGTGAATGATAACATGGATGACTACCCGAAAGCGCTTGAATTTTCGGAAAAATTACTTAAAATGAAAGAAAAGAGCGTCTCTGTGGATCATCGTGATTTGGCTGCTTCTTACAGCAACGTCGGTGATGTATATGATAAAATCTGTTAGTATTTGAACGCACTTTTAGTATTTGATGGCGAACTTAAGGTCGCAGAATTATCTCTTTGTTCGCGTGAGAGTCGGATAATTTAAGGACTGGAGAACTCACGGAAGAAAGTGTTGCACACGAAAAGATAAGTAGGAGGAAAGCTCATAAAAAAGGACAAACTAATTGTGAGGAGTTCATTGAAGAATTGTAAAACGATCTTTTAAAGTTTGGAAATGTAAAAAGTGGCTGCTCATGATTTCGCTGAATAAAAGTGGTATGACCGAAGCCAAAATGATGCTCTATTTACCCGCGAAATGTTTTCAGAGTCAGTGGTAGCTCTGAAATTATCATCCGGATTGAGAAACAGTATAGGTTTGATATTAGAACTCTTCAAAGTTTTTATGTTCGTGGACGACCAATTTTGAGAGACGTCGTAACAAGCATAGTGTGGAAACTGTTAGTTAGGCTTCGTATTGGAAAGTTTTGCTGCGTATGTTAAGACTTGACATGCAGTGAATCCGAACGCTTTTTTGCTTGGGTGCCCACATACTTTACATTTGGTTTGCGTTTCGTCGTTTCCGATACTGAAAATACCCCACCACTTGAAACAGTTTCGTGTATTCAAATGATTATTCAAGCACTTCTTTATGATTTGATTGACTGTTAAAGCATCCTAATGTCGATTCACTTTGGATTTGAGCATACTGAAACATTGTTAATCTTCTTTTGGTTTTCTTGCAGCTGCGCTGTTTATGAATTAATCGTTGCATGATGCGTAGGCCTCCTATAGCTCGTGAGAAAATCTTGTCCTTTGGCGTTTTTCTACCAGTTTTCATTGGTTAATTGAAAATGATTGCGTTGAAGATCAAACTAGAACGTTTAGGAATACCTAGTAGATCTTAATAAGGCTTCTAACGTGAATTGAAACTTGCGCAGTATCAATAGCGACATTTTCCTGGGGTCTAGTTATGGAAGAACCATTTTGAAGACTTCGTAGAAGTGTAAAACGTTTTTTGAGTTTTGTAGTAAATTCTTCACGCGTGTGATTATTCTTGGTGGTAAACTTCCCTGTACTTAAGTTTCATTCATCCTTCTGAATCAGTTCTCTATAAACCGCCTTCCAGTTTAGAAGCCCCCGGGGGCTTCTAACTTGCCCATCATCCGAAAGTTTTGAAGGGTGCTTCTATTAAGTCCTAAAATTTTTCAAGAGTTTGTGATGGTAAAAGATTTCAAAGGGCTTAAGAGATTTATAGGGTTTTTAAGGTTTGCTCAAACGACTTTCTAAGAGATTTCAAGATTTTTATGCTGATAGGTAAGGACATTAAACATATTCTTAACTGAAGATCGCGAATTTTGAAGGTTTTTTATGAAATTATCAAGAAAAGTTTTTAAAAAGTTTTTAAAATCAGGGGGCTTCTAATACATCATTCACGTTGTTCCCTCTGGAGGAGACTTCTAATAAGGGAGGAGCTTCTAATATGGGAGGAGCGTCTGTTACGGGAGGGAGTTTAGTTTCTTTCGAGTTTTGTGGAAGCCAGTGCAGTTATGACAGTGACTGTAGCTGCAGTTGTGGGCAAATGCTTGTGCCAGTTGTGTGTTGGTGTCTGAGTGTTGATCCATCGGATAGTTGTAGTACCAGTCACACTTCGCTCATATTCACTGATACACGTCTGGTACACTATCCATCCTCAGGTTCTAATTATCCTTCAGCCCAATTTTATCATTGCCAGGTGAATTTAAGCACGCATCGTATTATTTTGTTTCTTTTGTTATGTAAAGTTGTACATTTTTCATTTATTCTTTCAACAGTCGGCTTAGTTTAATTTGATAGTATAGGACTTGATGAATAGTACATTGAGAACATTTCATTTAAACGATTTATCAGAAAGCAGTACAGTAAAAGCTGTTTTATTTTAAAGCAAAGTATCAAAACCAGTTCTAACAGACTTTATATTTCGAGGATGGCCGTGAAGAGAATTTAACTACCCACTTCCACATCCTTTGATAAAAGGATAATAGTTCGTAAGAAGTATTCTGAACTTTCTATTTGCAAAAAAATCTCCAGAGTGATAACAAGCATATGATAAAAGAACTGGAAACTATGTTTCACATGTAGCAAAGCAAAATTACATTATTAATAAGCAGTGAGTTTGAGAGTGCATCTTATTTCTTTTGCAGGCTCAGAAGAGCATATCGGCACTCAGTCTATTATGGATGAATTCAGAACAAAGACAGTCATTCTATGCCTTGATGTACCATTCACATTTATGCGCTATCAACGAGCTGAATCAACCGAAGATCAGTGCAGCTGCATTTGTCGTCTTCGTTCAAGCAAAGAGCAGTCCATTCGGGTTGTTGTCTCATCAGTGGTAGGACAGAATTTAATACCACTCATTCATAAGTATCGATGTGTTGAATCAATTTACGTCTTCTGCAAAAACTCTCATTGGAACGACAGCAACTTTGAATGGACAAAACAATATTCGAAAATATCTGGTGTGTTTAGTACACAACAGACCATCGAGAAGAAAATGGAAGAAGATTATCATTCTTATCTAATATTAACCTCAAGAGATAAAAGGTTTCTAATATATTCACTTTACACACAAAGTTTATTTGCAGAAGACAGTCAGGTACAACAGATAAGCGAGCAAAATGCTAATGACGTCAGTATAAAGAGCATATTCTGTTCTGACTGGACAACTGAACTAGAAAAATCACTCGACAAAGAACAAAGAGACTTCATTTCCTTCCAGCTAATGATCGAGATATTATTCAGTATACCGCCTTTGTCAGTATCCACCCCTGAAATGATGTTTACATGTGACCAACTAGGTGATCAAGATCATCAACTATTTGAAGAAATCCAATCTGCAATCACAAACTATTTACCCGCTGATTTTCTGATAAGGCTAACAAACAAACCGTTTGCTGTACCTCAAATCGTTCACAGACTCTTCAAAAGCAATTTTTCCATGCCTCAAATTTTGTCTCTGAAACGGTTATTGGACTATTTCCGAGAGATGACAAACTCATTGACTCATTGTACTTCGTCTCTCACTGCTTATTGCGTTCAGATCATCGATTCTGAACAAATCTCTTCACTGAAGTCCAAAACATGTAATAATAATTTATTATGCCTACTCTCACCTCTTCTTGCATCAACATGTCCTGTGACAACGCGCATCCTCTCTCATTACGCAAGACAGCAAGGTTATGAAGCAGTCGTACTTCAGATTGACGTACAGAGAAGCTGTGCATCGGAAGTCGCTTTTATTGATGCTAAACGTCTTCTTTTCCCATTGGGAATGGCTTTTCGCATTCGATCAATCGATTTAGCACCCGATCAAGTTTGGTATCTTCAATTAGTGTGTCTAAAGAAAGAACTGCTTGTGATTAAGGAACAATTGCAAGATCAAGTCGGCGAACGTCTCACATGGTTAACATTCGGTAATTATCTTTCTGTTCTTCATAAACCCGAGCAAGCTTTTGATTATTATCAATACCTGTTATACCATTTGGATCAAAAACATCCAGCTCGAGCTTCAATCAGTAATAATATGGGTGTTGTATTGGCTCGTAATAATCAACATACTCAATCTGTTTTTTACTACGAGCAAGCACTCGCTTTGACGAAAGATGACGATACAAGAGTCGATGATAAAGTGTGCGATTCGATAGTAAGTACGAATCGTTCTGCATTTGGTCGAATTCTTGAACAATATAAAGAGACATTGACAGATTTGATTGATCCACTATCTCAGGATATTTGTCGAGAGACTATATCATTCATTCGTAAAAAACTATAGTTCTAGTCTTATAATAATAAAATGTATCCATTCTGATGTTGTAGATGCATAATTCATATAACGGAGCAGTAGACTAAATATCGACCTTAGTTCAAGATTTGGCTACGACCAGTGATTTCACAATTTCTCAAGACTAGACGTGTATCATTGCTGAGGTTTCCATTTTAATGATGTCATATGAATTCTTCTTAGATAGTATCACCAATGAAAGTCATAAACTCAGTTTAACATCCCAAGGAGGTGAATTGAATGATGGTATCATAGGCGTTTGGCTCTATGATGATGATATGCCAGATGAGATCATAATAGATATGCATCGAAGATTCGACGCTGCATTTTGCTACAACCGTTTCTTCAACGATTCTGGAGAATTTCTACAGTACGTTAGAGAACTGGTGAAAAATTGCTCATTGTGCTGCATTATTAGTGGTACGGAAGCGAGCTATGTTCTGAATATTTTAACAACATGCAAAAACTGTCTTTTCAAATATCAGTTCCAGCATGAACTGGACCATGTGAATTCTGACAATACAGTTTATGTCAATGCTGAAACAATGTTTCAGACAATATTATCTGATATAAGAACTTCTCGCATCCCTCAATCATCCATTCCCTCTGAGACATGTAAAATAAGCATTGACACGTCCAAAACGAGATCTGAATGTTCCCTTCCACCATTTAGCATTTACGAATATCGACTCAAAAATAATCCAATTCAATATTTATGCCGAAGTTCGCTGAAGTTTCTATTAACCCGCCTCATGACCGAAGTTCTCGTTCAAATGAAACATGACAATAACACGATTGATAGTATCATCGAATTGAGTCGGATGTTTTATCTAGACAACAGTGCCTTGTGGGATACAATTTACACTTTCAAGGCTGATTACAACCCATTGAACTCTATCCATTATTATACACAAGACTCTTTCATATTTCGTATTATGAGTCGAATATTTCGAAGTGAGGATATTTGGTACATATATATGTGTCGAAAATACATTGCAGATTTACATAATGAGGTGGTCAAACATTCTAAACTACAAACAGATTCCAAGAAACCAAAAAATCTCTATCGTGGAAAGAAGGTACCATTGACTACAATACAAGAACTTATTGACAGCAAGAATCGTTTGATTTCTATCAATGGCTTTGTGTCCACAAGCTCCGATTTTATTATAGGTGAAGTGTTTTCGGGTCAAGGTCAACCAAGAGTTCGGTACGGTAGTGTACTATTCAAGATGTATCTCAAAGATAATATGATTCATCCGTTTGCGGATATTTCGCAGCTGAGTCAATTTGCTCAGGAAAACGAGTTTCTCTTCTCTTTTGGCTCTGTTTGGCGAATTCGAGATGTTCGACAAGAAAATGACTTATGGATAGTAGATTTGGATCCTTGTGATGACTACAACAAGGAACTCGAAGATTCGAAAGGGCTTCTAATTCACGGGCAAACACTTCTTTCGCTTGTTCATATACTGACCAAACAGGGTGATCGAGTCAATGCAAAACGATTTTGCAATCTAATGCTCAAAGATGTGTCAATATCGAAGACAGAGAAAGGTTATGTTCACAATATTCTTGGAATGCTTTATATGGAGGAAAAGGATGAAGCGACAGCTTTGTATCATCTTCAAAAAGCGCTTTCACAAATGGCACCTGACATGTCGGATGTGGTTAGAAATGCATCAGAACCACTGTATCTGTGCATAGCGGATAACCAACCATGTCGCATGGAGATTTGCAATAACATTGGGCTGATGTTTCAAAGCCAGCAGGAATATGAAAAAGCACTCGAATATTACCGTCGAGGACTTGAAGAAAAGGGTTCACGATTTGTCAAGGCCGCGATCTATTATAACTTAGGAGTAATAGCTCAGATCCAAACCAACCTCGAAACAGCACGTGATCATTATTGTCAAGCTGTAGAACTTAGCAAAGGGCATTCCATGCAAGAGAAGTTCAAAAAGAATCTAGCTGCCGTCGAAAAGTATCTGACTCAACATACCAATTGAGATACAACTATCATTGGGCATTTCTTGCATATGCACTTGTCTTAGGTACTTCAGTGCTTCTTTTTTGTAACGCTCATGGTCTACATAAGATGAATTTTGATGTTGTGGGTGTGGGTGTGTGGGTGTGGGTGTGGGGTGTGGGTGTGGGGCATGGGTGTGGGTGTGGGTGTGTGGATGTTGTTCTTTTTCAAACCCACACCCACAACCAGAAACCACACCCACTCCCACCCACACCCACACCCCACCCACACCCCACCCACACCCACACCC